AAACAAACAAACAAAAAAACCCAACAGTGCAATAGGCCAGGGGTGGTAGTCCATGGCTGTTATGCCAGGAGGAGACAGAGGGGTGAGATCCATAAATTTAAGGTCAGCCTGGGCTATAGAGTTAGACCTTGTCTCTGAAGAGTAGAAACAGGAATTGGCTCAGTGGGCAGAGCACTTGCCTAGCTCCCAGGAAGCCCAGGGTTCCATCCCCAGCACCTCATACACCAGGTCAGATGGCACATACTTTTAGTCCAACACCAGCCAAAGGCAGGCAGATCTCTGTGAGTTCCAGGCCAGCCAGGAATACAGGGAGACCCTATCTAAAATAAATAATAACAACAAAAGGCCTGGGGAGATGGCTCACTTGGTAATTTGCAAGCTTAAGGACCTGAGTCTGATCCTCAGAAACTACATAAAAAGGCACATGGCTGGAGAGATGGCTCAGCAGTTAAGAGCAGGTACTACTCTTCCAGAAGCACCCATGTCTCTTGGCTCACAACCATCTGTAATTCTAGGCATTGGGGGATCTGAAGCCTTTGACATTTTAGGCACCTGCATGCACCTGCACATATCAACACACATACACACATGATTAAAAATAAATCTTTTTTTTTGTTTTGTGATACGCTCTCCCTGCAGCCCCAGCTGACCTGGAACTTGCTATGTAGACCAGGCTGGCCTTGATCTCAAAGATCCATCTGCCTCTGCCTCCCTACTGCTGGGATTAAAGGCGTGAGCCACCAACACTCCCCTAAAATATTTTAAGAATCATGATTAACTACTTCTTGAAGTTCATGGGAGGCATGCAGGGTCATTAGCTCTCCACAGGCTAAGAGTGCAGATAGGGCAGGGCTGAATGAGAAACTTGGCCGTAAATTTGTCCAAAAGCTGTTTAATTGAGGGTGTGGCTAACCCCAGCTGACCCCAGAGCTAGGGCCTCAACTCACAATGGGAGTGGGTATCCAAGGCCGGGGTGTGCCAAACTTCTCATCGATTTACTTACTATTATTACTGTTATTATTTTGTGGTTCTGGCGTGGAACCCAGGTTTGTGGAAGCTAGACAAGTATTCCTTTTCTGGCCTACTGATTTTGGGGAGCATTTTTTTCTTTTTCTTTTCTCTCCAGCCCCTCCATTTGGGGGGATTTTAAAAACAGGGTCTCCCTGTAGCGCAGGCTAGCCTGGAACTTGCTATGCAGATCAGGCTTGGCCTGGATGTCATAGAGATCAGCTTGCCTCAGCCTCACAAGTGCTGGGATTAAAGGTGTGTACCAACATGTCCAACTTCTCTTTCTTTCTTCTTTTTTGAGACTGGGTCTCATTTAGTCCAGGCTAGCCTCAAACTCATTATGTGATTGAAGATGACCCTGAACTCCTAATCCTTCTTTCTCCACCTCTCCAATGCTGGGATGACAGGTATTTGACAACTGTACCTGGTTTATGTGATCCTGGGGGTGGAACCCAGGGCTTCCTGCAAGCACTCTATCCACTGAGCTACAGCCTTTTGTCGTTGCTGGTTTTTTTTGGGGGGGGAAGGTCTCACTTTGTAGGCCAGGCTGGCTTTGAACTTGAAATCCTCCTGCCTCAGTCTTCTGAGTACTGAGACAACATCATGTACCACCATGCCTGGCCTAGAGCTCTGTGTTTAAAATCCTAGAGGGGGTATGTGAGATGGCTCAGTATGTGAAAGTGCTTGCTGTGAAGACTGATGACCTGAGTTTGATCCTTGGAACCTATGTAAAATAAAAGCTGGACTTGGTGGCCCATGTCTGTAATTCTAGGATTCCTAAGGCAAGACAGAAAGCAAAGACATAATTCTCCTGGAAGCCCCTCAGGCCAGCTAAGCAGTGGACAAGAGAGACTGTGCTTCAAACAAGGTGGAGGGTGAGGACCAACATATGTCTGAACTTCCCCTGCCTGCGGGAACATGTGCACGCCCCCCTGAAACACATACACAAAGAGGTACACACACACACACACACACACACACACACACACGCACACACACACCACGCACGTACACATGCACTAAAAACAACAGCAACAACAATAAACCTTAGATCTAGTTTGATGTTGTATCTCATAAACCAAAAAAGGGCCAGGCATGGTGTACTCATATGGGAAGGTGAGAACTGATGTCTGAGTTGACCTCTGATCTCCACACTCACAGTGTGGTACAGACACTTCTACCCAAAATATTCAGAGCTGGGAGCAGTGGCACACACCTTTAATCTCAGCACTTGGAGGCAGAGGCAGGCAGATCTCTGTGAGTTCGAGGCCAGCCTGGTCTACATAGTGAGTTCCAGGACAGCCAGGGCTACAGAGAGACCCTGTCTCAAAAAGACAAAAAAAAAAAAAAAAAAAAAAAAAAAAAAAAAAGAAAGAAAGAAATGTATTCAGAAATTAACAAATAAAGTAATTTAAACTTAGTATTATTTTATGTGCATGAGTATTTGCTGGCATGTAGGCAAGTGTACCATGTATGTGCAATGCTCGAGGAGGCCAGAAGAGGGTGGATCCCAGGGAACTGGAGTTAGACAATTGCTAGTTGCCATGGGGCTGCTGGGAACCAAACCCCAGTCCTCTGCAAGAGCTAAGCTGTCTCTCCAGGCCAAAAATAATTGAAATTTTAAAAGGGCAGGATGCCCTGTGGTGCAGGCCTTTAATCCCAACACTTGGGAGGCAGAGGCAGGTGGATTTCTGTGAGTTTGAGACCAGCCTGGTCTACATAGTGAGTTCCAGGCCAGCCAAGGGCTACATGATGAGACCTGGTCTCAAAAATAAAATTAAAAAAAATTAAAAGGCTTACAGGATGCCCTTAGTTCCATCTCAAGCACTGTTGGTTTTTTCTTTTCTTTTCCTTTTTTTTTTTTTTTTTTCTTTTTGTTGTTGTTTGAAAGTAGAATGGAAAAAATAAGAAACAGAAAGAGATCCTTGTTTTTCTGTAACACACCACCATTTAAGGAAATTAAACAGGCACAGGGCATATTTTCCAAGAATACCAAATATCTAAATAAGCTGCTGAAAAATGGAGCCTAGGAATGATCTTCAAGAATGGAAAGGCCAGGCATAGTGTCTCGTGGCTGAGGTACTGGGATCTGGGTGGGTGAGGCAGGAAAACTGCTTAGGAGCCAGCTTGGGCAGCATAGAGAAACACCATCTTCAAAAAGCAAAAATATTGGGCTGGTGAGATAGCTCAGCAGGTAAAGGAGCTTGCTGTAAAGCCTAAGGACCTGAGTTTGATCCTGTCCTTGGCCCAGGCTGACTGAAAACTCACAGCAATCCTTCAAAGTGCTTGGATTAAAGACATGAGTTATTATGCTCAGTAGATTTTACATTTTTACGTGTCTGGGAAAAATTAAAAGAAAACTATGACTAAGAACATGTGAAAAGTACAGGGGCATGTGCTTAGCTCAGCAGAAGAGTGCTTGCCCAGGATGCACAAGGCCCTGGAGTTCATCCCTAGCACCTGAAAAAATAAACTCAAGCAAAACAGTATTTTCCATCAGCTCTATGGGGCTAGATATTAAAAACATATTATTATTATTTTATGCATTAAAAAAAAAAAAAACTTTGGCTATCTGGGCATAGTGGGGCACACCTGTAGTCCCAGCACTCGGGATGCAGAGGCAGGTGGATATCTGTGAGTTCAAGGCCAGCCTGGTCTACATAGTGAGTTCCAGGACAGCTGGGGCTACAAGGAAACCGTTTCAAAAAGACCAAAAACAAACAAACAAATGTCAGGCTGGAGGCTGGAGAGCTGGCTCAGCATTTAAGAGCACTGGCTGCTCTTGCAGAGGACCTGAGTTTAGTTCCCAGCATCCACATGGCTGCTAACAACCATCCATAACTGCAGCTCCAGGGCCCTCTTCTGACCTCCATAGGTTCTATACTACATGGGTGCACTTACTCAGGGAGGAAATTCATACACATAAGAAACAAAATTTAAAAAGAAAACTTATAAGTTATGTTTGTGAGCTCCTATAAGAGTAGCCTATGGAAAACTGATTGAGGCAGGAGACCACAGCTCCAGGGCAGCCTGGGCTACTGAACAGGACAATCCAAATCTGGGACTGGTAATATAGGCTTTTAATCTTAACACTTGAGAGGGGAGGGAGAGGCAGGTGGATCTCTGTGAGTTCTAGGCCAGCCTGGCCTGCGTAGTGACATCTAGGCCAGCTGGGGCTACATAGTGAGACTCTGTCTCAAAACAAAACAAATAAAGCAACCCCAAAAACACAGAAGCAAAATGTTGACAGAAACTGGGTGTGGTGACTCAGACCTGTGACTCCAGCTCTCAGGGGAGACTGAGATTGGAGGGTTACAGTGAGAGCCAGGTAGCCTGCAGCACATACTAAGGCCCTGTCTCAACGAAAGTCTTGATAAGACACTCCTGGTAGTAGGTGGATTTGTTGTTTTAGATTTTTCTGCACTTTCTAAACCTGAAAACACTATGGGCTACTTTCTGTTGTTTTGTTTTTTTAAGACAGTCTCCCTGTAACCCCAGCTGGCCTGGAACTCACTATGTACACCAGGCTAACTGTGATCTCACAAATATCCACCAGTCTCTGCCTCCTGTGTACTGGAATTAATAGTGTGTATCAGCAGGCTCAGGTGGGTTTTTGTTTTTAGGACTTACTTATTTTGTGTGTGTGTGTGTGTGTGTGTGTGTGTGTGTGTGTGTGTGTGCAACCTAGAAGTCAGAAGAGGGTTTTGGAGTCCCCTGGAACTGGAGTTTACACACTGTTGTTAGCTGCTATGTAGGTGCTGAGAGCCGAACTCAAGTCCTCTGTAAGAGCAGTCAGTGCTCCTAACAGCTGAGCCAGCTCACCAGTCCATTTGTTTTTTGAGACAGGGTATCTCTATCCTGAGGTTTGTAGAGTAGAGTAGGCTGGCCAGCAAGCCCTAGACATCTGCCTGTCTCAACCTCCCCAGCATTAAGATTACAAGTGCAGAGGCTCTGTCCTTACCACATTCTAGCTTGTTCTTCACTTTACAAGCCTAAGTCCTTGCCACTGCAGGGCCTTTACCTCTCCTGGGCCCCTGCTCAGGACACTCTTCCTACCTCTATGCCACCTGGCACATCTTCTCCTCCACATTTTATACAGGCAGTAGTTGTTTTGGATAGAGACTCACTCTGTAGCCCAGGCTGGCCTCCAAGCTGAGGTGGCCCTCCTGCTTCAGTTTCTGGAGTGCTGGGATCACAGGCTTGTGCTACCATGTCTGGCTCTTTTCATATGCTATGTAAGAAGACACCAGAGATGAGAGATGATTGTGACTATTGACTACAAACCTAGAGGCAGACTGCACATCAACATGATACAGTGCTGGCCATGGAGCCAGGCCTCACACTAGATGGTAGCTCTACCACTGAAACACACTGCTCCCAGCACAATTTACATTTAGAGACCAAATTGAGTCTAGGGCAAGGTACTGTCAGGAGTCCCAGTTTACAGATGAAGAGAGAGAGGTACACAGACTTTGATCAGACAGGCAGTGTTCAGGGTGGTATGGCCTTACACCAGACAGACTTTGTTTTTTGTTGTTGTTTTGGTCTTCGTGACAGGGTCTCCCTGTATCCACAGCTGGCCTGGAACTCTCTATATAGACCACACTGGCCTTGATCTCACAGAGATCTGCCCGCCTTTGCCTCCTGAGTGCTGGGATTAAAGGCACGCACTACCACGCCTGGCCTTTTCATGGTGGCATACTTTCCATCTCTCACTTGAGATGATATTGAAACACATGCACACACTCCAGTGCTAACTAATGGAGGCTGTGAGCTGGCTGTAGCAAGAGTGAGTGCAGTGAGAGATGAAAAAGGGCATGAACATAGCTTTTTCTCCATGTCCTGTAAGCAGGAGGCCCCATGACTACCCTGGGAGGCACGTCTGGAATGGAGGGTGTCTCTCTGGGAGATCCAAGGCTGGGCTGGGCGGGCCTCTGGCTGAGGGCCAGAACCTCAGGGTGTTTGGATGGACAGAGAGCTGGTTTCCGTAGCCAGCCAGGAACAACAGGGAAGCAAGAAAACATAGCTGGGTCCTTGCCCTGAAGTCCACGTAACTGTCAGAGGGTTCTGGCCAACTCCATATTCGAGTTGGGGGTGAGAACCAGTGCCCATTAGTGCCACAGACCTCAACACAGTGAATCCTCACCCTCACCCCAAGCCTCAGTTTCCCCAGCTATAGAGTCAAAGCTGAGATTGGTATTGTATGCCTGGCATCCCAGCTACTCAAGAGGCTGAGGCAGGACGTTGACAATTCAAGGCTGAACCAGGCAAAGTGACCCAACGACTGTCATCCCAGCATTCTGGAGGAGAGGTGGAAGCAGAGAGCTCAGGAGGTCAAGGCCAGCCTGGGTTACAAGAAACTGTCTTAAAGAACCAGAAAAATAGCCAGGCATGGTGGTGCATGCCTATAAGATCGAGGCCAGCCTGGTCTACATAACGAGTTCCAGGCCAGCTGGGACTACAGGGAGATCCTGTCTCAAAGAGACCAAAAAAAAAATTTTTTTTTCAGTCACTTCTGACTTTAAAAAGAAAGAAAAAAGGCTGGTAGAGAACACAGGAAGCCTGTCTCAAATCCCACATTAAACCAAAAAGAAGAAAAGAAAACATTCACTCATAGGCATTCTAGAACAGTGGATCAACATTAGACCCTGTCACAGAGAGGGATGCTGAAGCCCAGAGAGGTCAAGCTGCTCACATGGGGTCACACGGTGAACCTGGTACAGACCCCAGGCACCTGGCTGGCCAGCCATCTTCCTTAGCCCCTCCTGGATGAATCACTTAACGCAGCAGTTGGCACCACTTGTCCCATGCCCAAGACACAACAGCTGTTGCTCTTCTTATGAATCGTTCTGGCAGCTTCTCCCAGGCAGCTGGTAATCCTGTACAGCCCTTCCTAGCATGAGTACTCAGCACTTTCTCTGAGGGCACCCCCATTTCCTCTCCCAAAGGCCACAGGCTCCTTCACCCTCAGCCGGGTAGTGAAAGGTGCACCTCTTGCCAATGAAGGCCATCAAAGGTTTTCGATTTATTTTTTTAATCTTTTTGAGATAGGATCTCCCTGTATCCCTGGTTGGCCTGGAACTCGCTATGTAAACCAGGTTGGCCTTGATCTCACAGAGATCCACCTGCCTCTGCCACCTGACTGCTGGAATTGAAGGCGTGCACCACCACACCCAGCTTATTTTATTTTTGACTTATTTATTTTTTGAGTGTTCTGCCTATATGTAAGTGCACCACATGTGTGCAATGCCTGCAGAAGCCAGAAGAGGATGTCATGTCCTCTGGAACTGGAGTTACAGATGATTGTTAGCTGCCATGTGGGTGCTGGGAACCAAACTTGGGTCCTCTAGAAGAGTAGCCAGTGCTCCTAACTGCTAAGCCATTTCTCTATTTTAACTGGTGTTATATGGACTAAGGGATTCCTTCTCCATGGAGGCCATCTTCCTTAACCAACCCAAGAGAGAAGCCTCCACAGTAGGCAGACAGAACAAAGGCATTAAACCAAGCACCTGGATCTAGCTATACCTAAAGCTGTCCCTCAATATTGTGAACAATGCATTCTCTTTATAGGGGTTAAATCTGTCCTGCATAGATTCTGGCCACTCAAGTCAACAAGGAGGGATTTTGCCAGGAAACCAACAATTGGGAACATTCTCCAAATGACTTGTTTTCAGGATATTTGCACTGTGACACAAGGTGATATGCTAGTTATTCAATTTCTTTGTGTACGTGTGTGACTGCTTATGTGTATGTACACATGAGTGTTCAGGCCAGAGGTCAGCCTGGGGAGTTGTTTCTCAGCAGTTACGTCCACTTTTTTTTTAAATGCAAGGTCTCACTGGCTTGTATCTTACAGAGATCTACCTGCTTCTGTGTTCTGAGTGCTGAGATTAGGGTGTGAGCTACCATGCCTGGCCTACCCCCAGCTTTTTCACATGGGTGCTGGAGATCTGAACTCAGTTCCTCATGCTTGTGTAGCAAGCAAGCACTTTACCAACTAAGCCATCTCCCCAGCTCCCTAGACATCAGATTTTTTGCATGACACCAACAGCTCATAATACCAACTGATCGCCTGTGTAATTCTGTAATCCTTTCTTCGTTGGGAAGAGACCAGGGCCATCCATCCTGTCAAAGACTAGGATGAAGGAGAGACCCCCTACCTGTTCTACCACTGCCAGCATCACTCACCTGCCTTCCTGGCTGCCCCACTGCAGCTTCGTTCTGTGATGCTGATTTTCTTAATGGTGTGGATGTTGCCGGTGGTAGCTGTGGGTATCGGGCACATGGTCTCCACCACTTCATGGCTGCAGAACACAGGAGGACTCTCTGGCCCCCCAGCTGTCACCAGGGCCTTCAGCCCTGCTCCGTAGGATTCCAGACTCTGGGCTCTCTGTGCACGGGTTCCCGCTGCCATGCTGGCTACCACCTCGACTTCCTGAGGCCCCTGCACCACTCGCATGGTGTCCACGCGGACCTGGGTATCGGGAGGTGGCCAGGCCTGGGGTTGGGGGTCAGCCTGGCGGGTCTGCACCACTTGCAACTCCTGCAGCGCCTTTTTGAGCTGAGTCTCCAACACAGCCACCTTAGCAGCCAGGGCAGCTTTGCCATCTGGTATGCCCAAGTCTTGTTCTCGGACCCAGGTACCTACAGTGCGGGTCTCCAGCACCCCAGGATCTTCGGGGGGCTCTGGGAGGTCCAGGCAGAGTTCACCTCGGCCTCGGGTCCCTGTGGGGTGACCTAGAAACTTCTGGCTCTTGAGCTGCACCGCCAGCTGTCTCTTCTCTTCTTGTAGGACCGACAGCTTGACCTGGAGTACAGGGATCAGTTTGACCTGCTCCTCCAGCTGGCGCAGCTTGCGCAGGGCAACGGCCATCTGCTCCCTGACGTGGGCCAGGTGGCCTGCACTGGGTGCCACAGGGGTGGACAGCCCTGAGCTGCGTGGTGTGGGGGGTGGCAGGCCCACACCAGACAGGGAGCTGGTGGAACCCGCTACACTGGGGGTCAGGGACCCCAGGCCACCCAGGCCATCCGACGGGGAGGCCGCCTGATTCTCCAGCCTGCGCCGGGCATCCAGCAGTGTGCGCTCCACTCGTGGGTTAAAGCCACTCCGGGTCTCCAGGGCCCCATACTGTGGGTAGAAGCCACGGCCACAGTAGGAATAGGCTGAGTGGCGACTGTCCCCGCTTGCGTTGGAGCACAGGGACTCAGTGGAAGTCCACCAGGAGCCCGGGCCTCGTGGCAGGGAGCCCAGACGTGGCCGGCGCTGCACTGCCACCCTGCGAAGCGTGTGGCCCTTCTCAATGTCATCCACATACTTCAGGAAGTCCAGGTCCAGCCGGTAACCATAGGGGGTCTCCACTGAATATGGAGGGTCGGGCTCCTTGGCAGGGTAGGCAGGTGGAGAGGCTGGGCCAGGGGTCCCTGGAGTGGGGGAAAGCTCATGCCTTAAAATACTGCTGGGCCCTTGCTTTTGGGTGGGAGTTGATGACCCAGGGACAGTGAGGAATAGTGGAGTGAGTGGCAGTATTCCCTGAGCTAAGGGCCCACCCGGGATCAACTGGGCCTTCAGTCTCTGTCTCCTACACTGGGCAAGGCCCTGTCACCTGTGTCCCAAAGCAGGGCTGACCTCCCCCTTCAGACCCTCCTCACTTTAAAGCTGCCCACCCCAGACCCTCGCTGACTTCCCCCCCTCAGACCTTCACATTGTGCTGACCTCCCACCTCTGACCTCAGATGCTTTACCTGGGAACGGAGCGGGTATATGCAGGACCTGGGCCATCGTCTTTCCTCAGGTGTCACTCAGGAGACTGGGAGTCAGACTGCCTACAGCACAGGCTGAGGCTCACCTGCCAAGAGGGGTTCACACAGTTGGGTTTCAGGGGCAGTTTGCAGGAGTGGGGTAATGCGGCTGACCCTTCCTGCCCCCCTCTCACTGAGGTCCAGGACCCTTTCATTTGTTTGCCCCTACCTCACCCCCCTTTCTGTAGAAAAGCCTAAAACAAAGAAAGAAAACCCTCCTGACTGCCTGCACATCTGTCCAGCCCTGGACAGACTCCAGCTGTTCCCACAGCCTCCACATGGCCCCCTTAGGGGGCCCCAGCTCCACAGCCCCACCCTTCCTGCACCCCTCCCTTCAGCCCGGACAGCAATACTGGGAGAGCAGGGTGCAGATGGGTAGAGGCCAGGATGCTAAAGGGGGAGTCCTTCCACTGGGGGGCTATAGAGAACAGGGGAGCGTGCAGAATGTGGAAGGTGGGGCCTGCTTAGGGACCCCAAAACAGAGAATCGGGTTCCGCAGGCCAGAAGGAGAAGAAGGGAAAGTGGGGAGCTACAAACGCTGAAGCTTTTCCTCTTTATGGAAACAATTTTCTCTAAAAATAAACAGTTTCGCTGTCCGGGCTACATAGAACTTCCTGCCCCCCCAGGATGTGTCCCGGCTGAGGGGGGAGGTGTGGCAGGGATAAAGAGCCGAAGGAGGCCAGGGAAGTCATGGGGGTTGGGAGGAGGAAGTAAAAGAAGGGGCTGTTTGGTAGCCCAGAAAAGGTAGCTAAAATCAAGGCTACGCACCACTTCGGTCCTAGAGGCTGATCCTTTCTGCTGTCTGACCTCCTGCTACCCTGCTGCACCCTGCTCACCTCCCCAGAGTGGACCATTACTAGTTTGTGGGTGTCAGAGGGTACCTGGGAGGATGGATGATGCGCGGCACCTGCCAGGCATGAACGCCGGGGCTCAGCGGTGACTGACTCGTTCTATAACTGGTTTAGTTTCCCTCCATGTCTATGTCTCTCTCCACGTTTCCCGTCTCTCTGGGTCTCTCTCCACGTGTCTCTCCCTGTCTCTTCCACGTCTCTGTCCCTGCTTCACTGGCTCAGAACACCTGTAACACAGTGACTAATTGTAGGAAAAATTGGCTCTGCGTGCACCTGCCTGGTGTTTCTGACCACCAAACATTGGGACAAGTTGGTCCAAAATATTTTCTGGAGCCCTAAGAGAGACATCTGGAGGTAAGGAATAGGATTAGGATCACCTGGGGTAGAGGACCTAGGGACGAAGCAAGTAATAATTCTAACTTTCAGACAGGGTCTTCTTATAGCTCCAGCTGGCCTGAATCTCCCTATGTAGACCAGGCTGGCTTCAATTTCACAGAGGATTGACTGCCTCTGCTTCCTGAGTGCTGGGATTAAAGCATGCACCACCAGCCCAAGCCCGCCCTTTCTTTCTTTCTTTCTTTCTTTCTTTCTTTCTTTCTTTCTTTCTTTCTTTCTTTCTTTCTTTCTTTCTTTCTTTCTTTCTTT